TTATAAAAAATCATTACTAAATGAAACTAACTCGCATACCGATGGTAAAAAATAGGACATTCGGGGGAATTCTTTTCCAAAATATAACAAAAATGAAATAAAATGTGTTTCTCTTAATGTGAATGGTTTAAAAAAACGCCTTCAATATCCGGACTTTGTCGATTTTATTAACTTGCATGATTTTGTATGTATACAAGAAACTCATATGGATGCTTCTGATATTGTTGACATTGAAAATTTTGTATATTTTTCAAAATGTCGTAGTCAAGCTTATTTGAGAAAATCAGGGGGTATCGGACTATATGTTAAAGAATCCTTAAGTCAATTTGTAAAACCTATAGAAAATGATACTGACTATATTTTTTGGTTTTCCTTGGATAAACATATGTTTAAGCTAAGTGAGCATGTCATACTAGGTATAATATATTTACCGCCAGAAGGTTCAAGATTTTTTAACGATTTAGACTACAGTACTTTTGAAAATGAAATTATTTCAAAGTATAGTTCTAATAAATATGTCCTCTTAGCTGGCGATCTGAACTCACGTATTGCAGAATTATCTGATTTCATCCCATCTGATTCTTTCTTAAATGATCATTTTAACATTGACGACGAATCGGTGTCTTTCTTTGATAAATATAAAGTATTAGAGGAATTATCAATTCCTCTACGTAGATTGTCAAGTGACAAAAGAATGAATAATCATGGCATTCAACTGATCGAACTCTGTAGGAGCAATAACATTTTTGTTGTTAATGGTAGATTTGAAACTGATAGGCCCGCAAATTTAACTTTCAGGGATAAATCAATTATTGACTATCTCATGGCGAGTGTTGATGCATTTAAACTTATATCTGACTTTAAAGTTATAGAAACAGACTCGCTTTTTTCCGATGGACACAACGCGTTATATTGGACATTAAGTAACTTTGACACTAATTTAGATAAATCATATAAGAATGAAAATAAATCGCAAACTAAATCAAAACCGAAATGGCGAGAAGAGCAAAGCGACAACTTTGTAACAAATATTGACACTAATCATTTATCATACATACAACAGCTGTGTAACTCAACTAGTGCTCAGAATGTAAATGGAAATATAGAACTTATAACAACAGAACTTCAATTACTGTTTGAAAATTCATCAACCAAAACATTTCCACCATTGACTCGTAAAACATACCATAAGAATAACAAGAATAAGCCTTGGTTTGGACCGAAATGCCACAAAGCACGAAAAAATTATCACGATGCTAAAATTAGATATAACTTAAATAAAACAGACGATAATAAGTTGCGCTTAAAAAATAGCAGCAAGCAATATAAAAGAACAATGAACTATTACATAAACAAATTTAAAACATGATAACTCATACAAGCTAAGAAAAATGCAAACCAAAAACACAAAACAATACTGGAATTTTCTAAAATCTATTAATCCAAAATCAGGTAGTAAGCCATCTCCCTCTATCAACGAGTTTTACGAGTACTTTAAAAATGTAAATAGTAATCCACATAATGATACACATATTAATTTAGATCAAACATTTATAGATAATTCAAATGTCTATTTAAATAAAGTCATAACGCAGGAAGAAATTCTAATTTGTATCAACAAATTAAATAATGGCAAGGCCTCAAGTCCTTCTGACAGTATAACAAATGAATATATTAAGAGTACAAAATCTATTCTTTTACCCATCTATGAACGTCTTTTTAACATAATTCTTGATTACGGACATTTACCGCCTGTTTGGCTGGAAGGCTGGATATATCCAGTTTATAAAAATAAAGGAGAATCGAAAAGCACTAATTCTTACAGACCAATAACAATATTATCATGTCTTGGTAAATTATTCACTGCTGTCCTAAATTCAAGGCTTAACAATTATATGGAAGAATTCAATCTCCTAAATGAAGCACAAGCAGGTTTTAGAAATGGCTACTCTTGCTCGGACCACTTATTTACATTGCATACATTAATTGAAATTTTAAAGAAGCGTAAACAAAAACTATTCTGCGGATTTATTGATTTCTCTAAATGTTTTGATACTATCTGGCGTTTTGGGCTATGGCATAAATTACTTCAATATTTTATTAATGGTAAAGTTTTTCAAGTTATTTTCAATATGTACAATAATATCAAGTCCTGCGTTGTACATTTAGGAGAAACATCTCAATTTTTTACTTCAGAAATAGGGGTCCGCCAGGGGGAAAATTTGAGCCCGATACTTTTTTCCATTTATCTAAACGACCTTGAATCTTATCTTATATCAAATGGAGCTTTGGGAGTAAATCTAACTGATACTATAACTAATGAAACATGGCTTAAACTATTACTCTTATTATACGCAGACGACACAATTATAATGTCAGAATCAGCTGACGACTTTCAAAAATGCTTATCTTCATTTAATTCATATTGTAATGAATGGAAACTAAAAGTTAATGCTGAGAAAACCAAAATAGTTGTTTTCGGAAGTAGAAATGCAAAGAATAGATATAATTTTACTCTAGGTAACCAGGCCATAGCTATTGAAGACTGTTATCATTATCTTGGAGTAACCTTTACCAGTAACGGCTCTTTTCTAAATGCAAGGAAACATGTGACCCAACAAGCAAATAAAGCCCTAAATCTGCTATATTCACGCTGCAATAATGCAGACTTACCAATCGATCTTACACTTAAACTTTTTGATCATACTGTAATGCCTATCTTAACCTACGGATCTGAAATATTTGGCTTTGAGAACTTAGAACTTCTTGAAAAAATCCATAACACATTTCTTAGAAGAATAACCTGTGCTAGGAAAAGCACTCCAAAATATATGCTTTTTGGTGAATTAGGCAGATACCCTGTCGAAATCATAGTCAAGACTAGGATGATATCTTTCTGGGTTAGACTTTTACTTGGAAAGCAAAGTAAACTTTCATATATCCTATACCAATTTATGTTAAATCATTCAGACCAAAATTATAAGTGGATAAATAAAATTAAAGATATTTTAAACTCTGTTGGCAGGACTGACTTATGGATTAATCAAAATACAGCCGTAAATAAAAGTATTCCATATCGCATTAAACTCACCTTAATTGATCAATATAAACAAATATGGCACGATCAAATGCAATCATCAAATAAAGGCCGCATATACAATGGCTTTAAAAAGTCGCTTACTTATGAAAACTATCTAAATTTAATCCCGCGCAATGACTACATTACCCTTTTCAAATTTAGAACATGTAATACAAGACTCCCATCAGAGACCGGGCGCTATGATGGTACCGCTTTCTTAGATAGAACCTGTCCTCTGTGTACAAGTGGCTCCCCAGGCACAGAAAGACATTACATCTTTAACTGTAGCTATTTTAACAATCAACGCAGAATGTATCTTAATAACGTTCACTTAGTTGATAACGAAAACAGTTTTGAAAGCTTAATAAATTCAACTAATGTGCCCAAACTGTTGAATCTTTGTAAATTTATCCGTATAGTCTTGGCAAAATTTTAATTATATAGCATCCAACATGTTTATGATAATAGTTTTACAGACTTACCCTTTTTCTCGCCAAAATAATCCATAAAGATACTTCTGCAATACTTGAATACATATATACTCAGTGTGAGAACTTTCTCATATTGAGCGCGCGCATATCTATTTATATCTTTCGCCAATTATAAATTATCCGTTATAATGCTACCTGATTGAATTTTACCCGAAACAGCGTAATTAAATTACAAACTTATCGCTTCAAAACTCTTTCAAAAATATACTTATTTTGTTTATTATTATTATTATTATTATTATTATTACTATTTTCCAATAGTGGTAATAATAACAATAATAATAAATACACCAAGGTCAAGATCTATATTGAAGCGTGACATACAGTAATCAAGGGAGAATCTCAAAATTATATTTGAACGTAAAGTTTTATTTATAACTTGATTGAATCTCTTAGTACATTCTTTTTTTATATGTGTGTTTTTTGTTTTTGTTTTTATTAATATTTCTTGTTTTTCTTATCAAGATGAACTGTTAAATTATCTAGAATTAAGAATATCCGAATTCCCCCCCCCCCCCCCCCCAGAAAACACACTGTAATAATTCACTTCACCATATTGTTTACATTATAGGAAAAAAATATATTGTGCAAAATTATGTATGTTTACTGCTGGAAAACTAATGTATTATATATGTGTTATATTAGAAAATCCTCATATTGTACAAATGTGCTTGAGTGAATAAAGATATCTGTCTGTCTGTCTGTCTGTCATTTATATCAATAACTTTATGATTAAAAATTACTCTTACAAAATTTCGATTTTGAAAAATCAAGGCTTTTTTTATTTTGCGAATAAAAATTTTGTCCGCCTACTGCACATAAAGACAGACAAAAACAATGCCAAAATGAAATACATATCCTTAATTACATATCAGCTGTTGCCAATTTAGTACCATCATTGTAATTCTAAAGACATTCATTTGATCCATTTGTTTCATATATTAGTTTTCAAGGCACAGTTTTCAATATTTAGAAATTCCGAAAATGTGTCATATAAATATATAATATAAAATTCATTGACATTCAATCATAAATTACTTTAATATTTCTCCCAATTTGCTAATGTATTATATTTTTTTATACATTAAAGTATAAATCCAATTACACATCATTTTTATAAACTTCATCAATGCCCAAAATAATCACCACTATATATCTATATCGTCCGCTTTTTTCCTCTTTGTCTATATTGTCAGCGTTTTCCCTATATGTTTATATTGTCCGCTTAAGGCGTCCGCGTTTTAGACAGGCCCCTAATCTGCATCGAACTTATTTCAGTGCGAATGATCTTCCAAACAAAATGAGATTCTTTAAATAATCGATATAGATCTACAAAATCCACGTAAATGATATGCCAATTATATTTTGTAACTCAATCATTAATGCATATTGAAAAATTTGAAATCCTTTAACATATAGATTATAAATACCAATATTCCAGTCTTAATGACTGTCAAGGTCGATTCGTGAACGATTCGTACACAAAATATACGTAACGATAATGTTGTTGTTGTTTTTGTGTCGCCTGCTACGGCGACCTTTAAAGAAGGGATCACTTTTCTGACATATGAATGTTCGTCTGTCTGCCCAACCGTCACAAAATTTGTCTCCTAAAATCTGCTGGTGCAATTTATTCGGTTACAGTACCAAGGACAACGTCGGTATTTTCCAGTTCAATGATTTTTGTCAGCGTTATATGTATCTTTTCTGGTCACTTTAGGATATTTATATAAGACCTATAACAGTAATGCCATCTTTTTTAAACTTTACGTGTACTGGATCAATATTGATCGGTAGCTTGAACCTGGGACCAAAAATATAGATCTACATACATTGTATTTATATATTATTTTTGTTCCAGCTCAAACTAACGTGAATTCGGGGTTTACGATTGAACAATTTTTTGCTGAGTTATGGCCCTTGAATAAAAAAAGACGTACTGGCCTATTATTCATTTTGTGTCTCATGCTATACATGATACAAAGTATATAGTAACGACATACAGGAAACAAGCATCACTCATCAAATCGTGCAGGAACTTGAAATTCTAATATGAAAAAGGCAAAGCCTCAAAGCGAGCTCGATGTACTTTTTACGTGAAATAGTATGAAATAATCTCAAATGCAGTAATCTGGTTCCCTGTCCTATTATGGTTCCCATTTTTAGAAGTTCGCAGGGGACCAGTCTACAAATGCAGTGACGAGTGCGTGTGACGTCACACGTACTGTGTTAAATATGGCCCCGTCCCTGTCGTGAAATGAATAACGAGTTTTGAAAACGTTGATAAAACTTGGTTTATTTTATTTCACTCTATAATTTTTCAAGCGAAATTAAGGTTATTTTAAGTGAAATAAATGTAAAACTTAATACGTTTGCGACATTAAAATAGCGTACTTGGTTTGTTTGTTTTGCACGTGCTGTTTGGCGCTACATTGTGACGTCACGTAAACAATACAGCGTTAACGACTGAATAAAAGATATTGGTGTTCGGATTCATTTTCTTAGTTAGACCATTTTCTTTCATTCTAGATAGTTTCACAACAAAATTCGACAAAAAATTGTTTTGATTTATCAGATTTCAAACAAAATGGCGCCTTCGATTTTCATTTTTTTATACACAGCTTCCGTTATTCTGGTTCCCTGTCCAATTATGGTTCCCATAGACGTGCGCGGGTGACCAGTCTACACATCCGTTTTCAGTCAGAATTCCTCAGTTTTTATCGTTATCTTTATATTCGAAAGGTTGCGATGTGTCCAATTCGGTACTTTGGACGAAAGTTTTCAAAACCATCACTTAGCAGGTACTCGCGTTACCGTAAAGCTCGCTTTGCGAGCAGGCCCTTCGGGCCAGCTCGTCGAGCTCGCTATCAATAATATGAAAAAGGCAAAGCCTCAAAGCGAGCTCGATGTACTTTTTACGGAAATAGTATGAAATAATCGCTCATTTTTATTTCAAATGCAGTAACGAGTGCGTGTGACGTCACACGTACTGTGTTAAATATGGCTCCGCCCCTGTCGTGAAATGAATAACGAGTTTTGAAAACGTTGATAAAACTTTGTTTATTTTATTTTACTCTATAATTTTTCAAGCGAAATAAAGATTATTTAAAGTGAAATAAATGTAAAACTTAAAACGATTGCGACATTAAAATAGCGTACTTGATTTGTTTGTTTTGCACGTGCTGTTTGGCGCTACATTGTGACGTCACGTAAACAATACTTTAAACGTCTGTACAGCGTTAACGACTGAATAAAATATATTGGTGTTCGGATTAATTTTCTTAGTTAGACCATTATCTTTCATTCTAGATAGATTTCACAACAAAATTCGACAAAAAATTGTTTTGATTTATCAGATTTCAAACAATATGGCGCCTTCGATTTTTATTTTTTATACACAGCTTCCGTTATTCTGATTCCCTGTCCAATTGTGGTTCCCATAGACATGCGCGGGTGACCAGTCTACACATCCGTTTTCAGTCAGAATTCCTCAGTTTTTATCGTTATCTTTAAATTCGAAAGGTTGCGATGTGTCCAATTCGGTACTTTGGACGAAAGTTTTCAAAACCATCACTTAGCAGGTACTCGCGTTACCGTAAAGCTCGCTTTGCGAGCAGGCCCTTCGGGCCAGCTCGTCGAGCTCGCTATTAATGATAATATCCAAAATATACCCCCTATACAGTATAAATATTATTTTTATTTATACTGTATAGGGGGTATATTTTGGATATTATCATTAATATTGATAGAATTTCAAGTTCCTGTGACCAAATTGACTAACAGCGCATGCGACAAATGTGATCAGACTGATCGCTTTTTTTCTTCTTTTCTTCAAAACTAGTTTTTCAAAAGACTCATGTACCTGTCGTTTACAGAAGTGCTACAGCATGAAAAAAGTCAAAATATTTAAATATACTTTATTTATAACACTAGATTTCTACATTTACTACAATTAGGCCTATATCATAAATGAAATATCTACAGTAGATAAAGTTATTGTTCAGATTTCTGGCGTTGCCTTTTATATTCATGACAGCTATACAGTATTGTTTGACTATAGGTTTCATTTTGCCCCGTTTGCAATCGCAACTTTTTGGCTCTTTCCGTCAATCTTCTGAATTTGAATAATTCAGTTTTGATTAAGAGTTGACATACATGTACGTACTTAACCCTTATTTCAGCCAGAATCTGTTTATATGCATACCATGTTGCCACTTTTCTGTGTTGCAAAACAGCACTTACATTTCACATTAAAACAGATTTATCTTTACAATTCTTAACATATTTCAATCTTTATGAATAGGAATTTTTGCAGTCCGAACTTTAAACAAAAATGTTGATTTATAACATTAAATTTATGTACAGACATTAACTAGTAAGCATTTACAAACTCGACCTATTCAACTTTTTTATACAGGACAGAACAGATAGAACTTAATATAGGCATATCTTGTTAATAAAACATCAAATTAAAACTAACACACAATTTAATGCACGTGATAAGCAACCATGTCAGCTAGAGAATGACCAAATTATCATAATTTAAATAAGTTGGTGTTTTAAAAATCAGCAAATAAAAATACACGAACACGACTGATTTTGATAACTAACGTTACCTCGTCCGCAGCCTTCAATTTCATTTTGTTTATATCTCAATTGTTATTTGATGATTGCTGCTTGGAAAAAAAGAAATAAAAAGGATTTGATATTATTCAATTTAAGGCTACAACCACATGTACATATTTTGTAGTTCAAAATCATTTTCAGATATGATTTTTAATAGTCATGATTCACATATATACGTGCCTGTTTTTTAAATAAGTTCAGTATGTTTTAAGACGTGTGTACAGAATCGCGCGTATTTTAAAACCGTATATAAAGTTTTCAAAGTTTTATTCAATATTCCATTAGGCTAAAAAGCCCATGAGGATAAACATAGCACAAATATCTACATACAACGAACAGTGCATGAATTTAACAAAAAGCAATATGACACCCATACATTCCCAAAAAGAATCTATATGGGAGGAGGTAACATATATAAACTTGTATTTAATTTAGATACATATAAAAGAAATGTAATTATATACATATAATGGCTGCACGTATAAATCATTTTACATCTTAACATATTGCTCTGTTATATATATACATCATTATTTTCTCTACCCTACCTTACACGAAAATGAAATGCAAGGTAATGATATATATCCTTTCATAATACAGGTTGAAAAATAATGTTACCAATAAACATCTTCTAACCTTTAGAAAAATGCGAAAACAAAGGTTATAAGACAAAGGTAAATAATCTTACATGAATAATTTTTACAAACATTAATTATATTCTACCATGTGCATATTAAATTCATTTTCTTTATTAGTTACTGAAAAAATATTCATTTCTGAGTATGAAAGCCTTGTGAATAAATAACCCTAATTTCTGTACAACTTTTTTGTCTTCAGATTTTAACAATTCAATAAACTTTATCATATTTGGGCGTTTCCAGAACTTTTTGTTAATATATTTTTTCTCAGATTGGTAAATAAGAAACATTACATGATAAAATGATACTCATCTTCCAGTGAATTACAAACACTACATTTTCTTTCATCAACTGGTGTTCTGATAAGCCTTGTCCACCTTTCCGCTTCCATATTTAATCTATGGGATGATTCTCTTAATATGGTCATTGATTGACAAAATTTGTTAACATTGAAAAATTCTAGATTGAAAACAAGCTATGTTTCTATAAAATAAAGATCAGCTTGATTCATTAATTCTACTATACCGATTTTGTATAAATTGATCATTTATTCTTTGTTTTACAAAATATAAAAATAGATCAATGTTGCCAACACTTTGCTGTAGCCAAGCATCAAAGAAAACCAGAGTACATAGTAATTCTTTTATTGATGAACACCAGTTTACTCTATTTGAAAAAAAATCTCGATAACCATTCTTTAACATATGATTAACTCTATGAACATTTTTGTTTTCATGTGAATGAATAAGTTTTAACAATAATTTGATAATATTTAAAAAATGTGTACATTTTAAGCTTGTTTTACCTAATTCCCCAAATACAAAATCCCTTTTTAGTTGTTTTCTTTACCGCTAAGACTTTTTTTATCAATCTTTCAATTGCCGCATTATTAGTAAAACCACATACTTCGCTGCAGTAATTTATTTTAAAATAGGGGTATCAAGTTTGTCAAATAAATCCAATTTATGTTAAGGAGATATCAAAGAGAATATATACAATATCGGTTTAATCTAAATATCTTTTTCTTGCTTTACCTGCTAATGTATCTTGTGCTGTTGAAAGTGATCCACCACATGTAAACACTATACCTAAATACGAAAATTTATTTACAATTTCTACTTGCTCACCATCGAAATAGAACTCTAAATTTCTTGGTAAATTACCGCCCTTTTTGAAAATCATTACTTTAGTTTTTGAAACATTAACTTTCATCTTCCAAGTTTTACAATAATCATTTAGTAGATTCATACACTTTTGTAATTCTTCAGCTGAATTTGCAAATATAACAATGTCATCAGCATATAACAATAAAAATAT